CAGAAATTATGGCTGCTGAATTGTTATTCTGAAACGAGTTTCTGCAGTTAATAGTTAATTTTGTATGGATATAATTAGTTTTAGTTGTATGTTAACGATTCTTCTGATAGTTAATATATCATTTAGACGATTAATTATTATACACTATATCATTTTATTTACAATACTAGAACGAGGTATCATAAACTGTGAAATATTTTTTCGTGGTGCGAATAGTTAGTATACTAATTCAAGCAAAACTATGGACAATCTTTCTACGTTGGTTCACTTGATGTATTTGTGTTTTCTATTATGCCTGTCTTGTTCTGTTTTTGTTTATTGAATTTAACGAGCAAAGAAGAATGTATTGCTCTTGATATGCGTGTTCGTTATTTTTCGTTCTGTTCATTGTATCGCATATATATATGTGCGACCGTTGATTCATATAATTGTATTCAATTTTTTTTTTTAATGATACTTACTTGAAAAAGTGATATTTTGAGATGCCACGAAAATATGTTAAACAAAATGTGGAAAAAAATTATGCCAATGGTGATTTTCAACTAGCTCTTGAATCAGTAGCAAGTGGATCTTCTATTCGTGATGCTGCAAATACTTTCAATGTTCCTTACACCACGTTGAATTCTCATGTCAATACTTTGGTTTTATATGAAGAAGTTGGTCGTCCAACGAAATTTACGAAATTAGAAGAAGAATATCTTGAACAGGCAGCTCTTATTCTACAGGTAAGACGTCTTTAAGTCATAAACATTTAGAAACAATTTTTTTATTTTAAGGAATGGGGGCAACCTTTAACAATCGACGAGTTTTTAAATCTTGCTAAACAGTACGCTGCGTCTCTGAATAAAAGTCAACTATTTCCATCAGGAGCACCAACATACGATTGGTTTCGATCTTTTCTAAAGCGACATCAAAATTTTGTTTTGAAAAAGTCACGTCCATTAGAAAAAAAAAGAGCATCAATAACAATGGAACAAGTAGATGGTTGGTTCGACTTGTTATATAAAATCATCCAAGATAATAACTTGGTAGATCGTCCAGGACAAGTGTTCAACTGTGATGAAACAGGTATAGGGCTTCATCCACATATGTGTGCAAATATTTATTTTTAGAGTATTTAATTTATTCAAATTATATTTTAGGTTTGTCTGACTGTATTAGTTATTCTAAAGTACTGGTTCGTCGACAAACACACAATGCTTTTCGAAGTCAAGGTGGTACTGGTGGAAAAGCTTATACAAGCTTAATGTTTTGTGTCTCGGCAACTGGTTATCTTTTACCACCGTTTGTTATATATAAATCAAAAAGACTATATCAAGAATGGTGCAGTGGAGGACCACCAGATACTGGTTATAGTAATTCTGAAAAGTAATAATATTTTACAAAAACTTTACCAACCTACAATTGATAAATTCTGTATAAAATCTTTAAGAAGTCGCTGATCATATACTATGATAGATTACAACTACATGCTATCTAAGATATTTTCAAAAACATTTCTACAATAAGATAAAATTTGTAATTAAATTTGAAAGAAAAAAGATACATAATCAATGTGTTTTTCTTCAAACTTTAAGTAACTTTCTACATAAGTCGAATAATACATTTTGTTAGATAATGATAAAGACTGAGTTTATCAATATCAATTTACATAATATTGTTAAATTCTCGAAACAAATCTCTAATTGATCTTCAATCACTGCTGATACAATATTCAAAACGTAACTCTTGTTTATGTGTCGCGCTCATTCAATGTATATTGCTAATAACTAATAATAGTAAAAAGAATATTCATTTGAATATTTATAGATATCTAGCATGCTAGGTATACATTCTGATATCTTTTCAACTAGATCTCTGGCATCTTAGAATTTATACATCTTGATCTTTCTTTCATTAAAAAAATCAAAATTTTGTATCGTTTTAGTGGTTGGATAGATCAACAACTATTCTATGAATGGTTTGATCAAATCTTTTTACAACGTACAAAAGATTTACCACGTCCATTAGTCCTTATTGTCGATGGTCATGGTAGTCATTTCAAGGTCGAAACGCTTCGATTAGCTGTTCAAAATGAAGTGTAAGTCATCTATATCTCAATCATATGATTTCCAATACCGGAGAGATATCCTCTAATATTTTTAGAATAATTCTTTGCTTACCACCTAATACTACTCATGTATTACAACCGCTGGATCTCATCTTTTTCAATCTATTGAAGATTGAATGGAAAAAGTGAGTATTTGTGATAAATCTCATTGAACATAATGATTTTTGAAGAATAATTTTATTTAATTTCGAAATTAATTTAAAAACTTTCTAAAGTTGAAAAGTAGATTTTGGAAGCTTGATGAACGTTCTGAAACGAGTTGAAATGATATAGTTGCTTATTCGAATTTCGAAAAACTTTATGCAACTTAAGTAATCGTTTTTTAGTTGTATCCATCCATACAGTTTCAAGGTATCTAGAATGTTATAATATACTATCACATTCTGAGGAAGTCAAAAATCTTCTCTCGTTTACTTTAAAATATATTTTAGTTCGTTTTAAAAAATATTAGTTTTATCAATTTATTCTATGTAATTCTTTATAGAATATTAAAGTCTGAATATAACCGTACACAAAATAAAAACATTAGCAAAGCTCAATTTCCATCACTGTTGAAACAATTATGGATAACTGATGCTCTTAATCGAAAAACGAATATTATTAAATCATTTATGAAAGCCGGTGTGTTTCCACTGAATCGAAGAGCTATAGATGTTTCACGTATTTTACGATCAAATACATCTACTGCTACTGCTTCTTCAACTACTGATATGAATCAAAATAATAAAACAAATAATGTGGCGTCATTCACGACCTCTCAACCGTTGTCATCACCGCCGCCACCAGTAGCTTCTTCTTCGTTCAGTTCTACTACATTCGATTCATCATCTTTTAATACTTCTCAACTTGCAATTTCAACTCTTAACCAAGTGCTCGATGAAACAACATTGGAGGATAGTCTTCGTGATAAGGATGAAGACGATATCGATGTCGATATGGATGAAAATGATGATGAGGATGATGATAGTGATGAAAGTTACGTTCCTGAATCATTCTCATCAAATATACGTACAAAGCGAAAGAGATCATCATCAGAAACAACACGTCTTGATACAAGTGATGATGGTAATTCTAATGGATAAGTTTTAGTCGTAAAAAAAGAATTCTTTTTTTAGATGATATTCAAACGAACATACAATCCGAGAAATCACGGAAATCTCGTAACATGGTACAAAAGTTTGGAAGAAAAAACATTGAATCAGAAAAAAATAAAAAGCAGGCATTATCAACATCAACGACAAAAAATAAAAAAGTAGCATTCAAACTGATTGGTTTTGATACTTCCGACGAAGAGAGTAAGTTTAATCAGTTTATTGTTATGACATTAGAGACAGCATTTTCACATGATGTTTTAATAGATAAATCACCTGACAAACAACGAGATTCTCTTACAGCTATACAAAATACGCTTCAAACTATATTCAGTTCATCTTCACAAGCAGCACCTGGTACTTCAACAAAACGAACAATGCTCAAACAAACCAATGGAAAAATTATGACAGAAAATGATGTTATTGAACAACTTGAAGAAATTCGACGAAAAAAAAAACAGAAGCAATCACGTTCTACTAATCGGGAGACCGGTGCACGACAACGTCGTACTATGCAAAAAAACGGTATGTTCAGTCAAACGTAAAATATAATAAGAGCCGCGCTCTGTATATCATATTAAAAATAGCTATTAAAAATAGCTTACTCACTTTTGGTTGTTGAATTATCACATCTATGCTAACAGAAAGTTTTTGATATATTTAGATTCACCTAATACAACACCTATAGCTAGCACAATTTCTATTGGACCATCTCATACATGAATTGTTTAATCTTTCTCGTCAGGTATTTATTCATATTTTGACAACACTTAAATAGTATGATAAAATTTTCTGAATCATTTTTATTTTTTTCTAATTAGATTATGCTTGAAATTCTTTTATAAATTCATCTGTATCATGATATGAGTTTTTTTCTTTTTTACATCTTTCTCTAACTCAACTGTACTATATTTTATGTTCTATTGTAAAATTTTTATATATAATTCTACATTGCCAAAGTGTTTGGGATCATTATCAGCTTCTATTTCAAAAATTTATCACATATTGTATCATATAATTTGCATAAATCTGTTTCAGTTATTTTATAAACATTACAATCCCTTTCATATTCGAAAAGCTTACATTTTTGCCATTTAGAATTTTTTCTTTTATTCTTGAAAGAGTAGCGTCATCAAAACAAAGAGTACAGATTATCTTTTGTATACTTCTATACTAACGCTTTGTTCCTTTATTCTGAATATCCATACGATTCTGTATATTATAGGATTTTATTTTTATGACTCACTATTTCTTCTTTGTGTGCTTATTTATAATGTTGTCAATTCATAAAATGAAGCGTTCTTCGATTATATATTGTAAACTATAATATTTATCTTTCACTCTATAGATACATATGAATAAAGTGAAGTTTTTATCAAATGAGAACATCCC